TTTAAAATGCATAATTAAGTTGCACTTCAAAAATCCATCATAGAAGGTTGTTTTTACGTTGTAAAAATCTCTAATTGATCATCTCAACATCAAGATGTATATATATATATATATATATATATATTTGAGTCTTAAAAATAGTGCATCTTACATCAAATTATCTAGATCGTCCATTTTCAAAATTTTCAAGTGTTTATAGATCGTCCATTTTCAAAATTATCTAGATCGTCCATTTGAATCATTTTTGTTTTGAAATTTAAGATGTTATATTTACATATAAAAATAGATTTTCAAACAATCCTAAAAATTTTTTACACCAAAATTATATATATAATAATATTTAAAGGAATTATTTAATTTGATTGTTTAAAATTGCAACCTTATGCAAACCGCACCCTATTTGGAATACTAAAAGGTGCGTCAGTGGCTAAAAGTCCTCAAACGCGGCAACCACGAGATGTGCATGCATCCAATCCATTCAAACTCCCTCTTTTTGTAGCACGGAACGTATGATAATTACTTTCTTCTTTTAAGTATATAAGTCGTGTGACACTCTAACTCTCTCTAAGAACATCTCCAATTTAGAGTATTTCAAAACCACATCATTCAACACATTTGGGGATCATACTGGTTTTTCTTATTCTGCATCATTTATTTATATATATATATATATATATCGCTAAAATACGTCACGAAACACATTTGAAGATAAAAATGGTGTTTCCAACTTGCATCATTTAAAACAAGGTGTGGTTTCTATAAGGTTACAAGTTTAAATAAATCAATTAAAGCATGTCTCCAAATTTTATCATAACATGTAATTTTGATAAAATAATTCTTTAAGATTATCTCAAAATCTATTTTCATATCTAATTATAAAATTTTAAATTCTAAAAATGGTTAAAATCAAGTAGATTTATAAATATATGACAGTCTTGAAAATGGACCGTCTAAATAATGTTTTGCAAGATGCACTATTTTTGGGACTCTGAATCTCTTTTTTTTTCTCATATTCATACATATCGATGTTGTCGAGATGATCAATTAGAGGTTTTTTCAACATTAAAACAACCTTTTGTGATAGATTTTTTAGGTGCATCTGTAATTCTACATTTTAAGGTTGCAACCCTCTATAAATTGATTTCTTTAAAACATCTCTCTTGCTTTTTCTCTCTCCAACTACCTTAGTGTGCGATGGAAGATTTTGAAGAATGGAGACCTGTTTTTTTTTTCCCCCTCTTTTTAAAGAGTAAACACTTTGAAAAGTTTAAAATAAGAGATATGAAGTGAGCTGTAAATTGCTTTGCAAGGAGAGGGATTGAAGGGGGAGAATGAGAACGGGTCAATTCACTTGTGCCGCAAGTCGTAGGCGTTTGCATGTGATAATGTGTTGCTTCTCTCACTTTTTACGTTGAAATTTTGCTTCTTGCCATCACCGCAAGTTTTGTTGAATATCGAATGCAGTCCAATGGATCGAGCCAAGACCTCAAATTTAAACCTAATTATCTAAAGAGATATATGAGGTAGTGAATTGGTGTTTTTCTTAACATTAAACTACGGTAAAAACATTAAGTAGATCTCTATGAGTGACTATTAGAGTATGTATATCTATATTGATATACATCATTATGAATACATAATGAGATATGTACATGTACTTATATTGATATACATCATTATGAGTACATAATGATATATGTATATGTATTGATATATATATATATCTTTTAAGTGTCTCTGGATTATGATTAGTATTCATAATGATATATGTATATGTATTGATATATATATCTCTAAAGTGTCTCTTGATTATGATAAGATTAGTCCGTAGTTATCCATAACCATTGGTACTTATATTTAATTGTTATTGGTTGTATAATATTGATATACATCATTATGAATACATGAGATATGTATATATATATCTCTCTTAAGTGTCTCTTGATTATGATAAGATTAGTTAGTAGTTATCCATAACCATTGGTATTTATATTTAATTGTTATTGGTCGTATATTTATACGGATATTGTATATTCTTGATCAATCAATAAAAAAAAAAAGTTTTATAGGACATAAGGCCCAAATATACAGAAATACAAAATACAATTTCTTAACGGTGACAAACTGCGATCTCTCTCCTTCATGTCTATCTCTACATTGTCTATCTCTCCATCTAAATGCATTATACGCGGAGTTACCAACATTCTTTGCTCTACTAACTGTACGGTCCCTTCCATATTTAGTTTTCATTAAAAACTATTGTTTCCTTTGGTATCTTGGTTCTTTAACATGTAAGCTTTCTAGTCTTCATTTTCTATGCAATTTCTTTAATTGATTCCGTGCAATGCACGTAGCAAAACTTGATATAAACAAGAATGTACCATCAATCTCTTTAATTTGCTTGTTCTTTGATCTTTAATTTATCAGCCTTTTGTGCTCTCAAACCAAAATGTATCCTCAACCAAAGTTCTTTCTCTTGCTCTCTCTTCTGTCTCTCTCTCTCAAGAGCATCGAATGTGATGAACCAGTCCCAACCATTGATTACAACACTGCGCTTCTCCTAAAGGTGGATCATGCAGGTCAGGGAGATTTCATCAATGTTCAAGACGCCATTAACGCAGTACCATGCAACAACTCCAACTTAGTTTTCATATTGATTTCTCCAGGACAGTATAGGCAAGTCTTAAACCATGTCATCTTCTTTCATTCTATTTTGAGCAATGCTTTCGTGGGGGAGCACCATTCTATTTTGAGCAATCCTTTCGTGGGGGAGCACCATTCTATTTTGAGCAATGCTTTCGTGGGGGAGCACCACTTTGTGTAGGTTGGGGAGACAGCTTTCCCATGGTTGGATCACTTGGCAAGTTGATCTTGAGATTGAGGGGTGGCTCCCCACTTGATGATGTTTTCTTCTTTTTGAAGTTTTTTTCTTTACCAGTGTGGAAAAAGTCTAGCGAGCCCATTCAGTCTTGTCCAAGTAACTCAGACTCGCCGTCTTGGCAAGTTCGAGTATCCCTGAGTTGGGTGGTCTGGCTTGGGGATCTTAAAAAAAATATAAAAATCTAAAAAAATAAGAAATTCATTGGTAATGGGATTGTATGCAATCAGACCCTGTACCTTTAGTACAAGGAGGTCACAATTATTTATAATGCGAAGTCTGGTGGCTTGGGCGTGTCATAAAGTTCAAAAAATATCCTTTTGAACTATGAATTTGGTCAATGAAAGAAATGCATCCCCCCAATTTCACATTTAACAATTAAGATTAATTGTAACCACCTTGTACCAAAGGTAAATGATCTCGTTTTTTCCTTTCTTTTTAGGTTATTTCTAAAATGCCCCCTCACAAATTGATTTTTTCAAAATCTATTTTTTCACTACTTTTTAAAACTCATTTAGATGTGTTTTGTTTAATTTACGCTAGAGCATGCTTTCTCTATTTTTAGTAATTTTTTGTATTTTTAATTTTTAAAACATTTTGGCTTGGCAGAACTCAACCATATTTAGGCCAAGACTGAGTTACATGGCTCAGGCAGGGCCGAGTCCCCGTCGCCAGAGTGGACTTTCCCACACTATTCTTTACTAAAATGGCAGAAATAAACTCAAGTCTGCTATGACTCCTTTCGGTATCTAATCTACAGACCATGGCGAAACCCTGGTCCTTAAAAGCATCACTGTTTATGGAAATGATAGATGGTAATGGTGAGAGTGAGTGTGGAACCTACCTTAATAAGACATGGCTGCTATGGTTGTTCCACTCTCTTTCAATCATGGTCTATCAATGGATTGTGATGGCCCAAAAGGACTGCGATTACGTCATAGCAGATAGGATTATAATGTAGTTTTCCAGTTTCCTTTTGGTTACAGATTCATTCATTGTGTGCTTGAGTACTGATTGCGTGAGCGTGGTTCAACAGGGAGAAAGTTATGGTTAATAGGCCGTTGGTGATTTTGAGTGGGTCGGGAGCGGGCGAAAGCGTGATTACATGGAACGACAGCGCCGACTCCAGCGGAGGAACTTTCAATTCTGCAACACTTACAATAGAAGCTCCTGATTTTGTTGCAAGAAGACTCACAATTAGGGTATTTACTCTCTAGATACAACTTGTAATATCATTAGTATCACCATCAGCAGCATCCTAGTTCTGATTGATCATCTTCGAAACCGTTATTTCGTTTAACGCACTACTATCCTAATGATTATTAGGCAATTGTTGAAAGACTAAGGCCACTCAAAATTGTCAGCTCACAGGTTGTACGGCCTGTAAATTTCTCCCATTTTCAGATGGCCTTAGGTTTTTACAGGGTTGTTCCAACAATCACTTTATTATTTAATAAGAAAAAGTATCTATGTTCATCATTATTCGACATTATTGACATTCATTCGACAGAAGTTCGCAAAATATGGGTATGCTGTAAGGAAAAATCACAATTCAAAGAACTAGTATCCTTCTGTGCAAAACAAAAGTTCAAAATTAAATTAGCAGAGAAAAACCAATTTTCGATTGAAATTCCTAAAATTTACGACATTCGATATGACCATTTTATCTCTATAAATAAACCTAAGAGAAGTGTAAAAAAAAGAAAAATCAAGGCAAAAGGGGGCGAGAAGCCAAGTTAAAGAAGTTTTTATGTGTGTGAAGCAAGTTCATGCACATGCTTGTGTATATATATAGCACACACTGTTGGAAACACATATTACATCACAATCTATCTAGATTCATAGCAGTTAAGAAATGCTATTTGATTTTATGTTTTTTTTTCTACTTTCTCGATCTTTTTAGTAGAAGGCATCATAAACCATATTCTTTCCTGCAACAGAATACATATGGTGCTGGTTCACAAGCAGTTGCAGTGAAGGTATCTGAGGACAGGGCAGCATTTTATGGCTGCAAGTTCTTCGCTTACCAAGACACCCTTCTTGATGACAAAGGAAGACACTACTACAACAACTGTTACATTCAAGGAGCCACTGATTTCATTTGTGGCAATGGCCTTTCTCTTTTTGAAGTAAGCAATGGCGTAACTATTTAGTAGAAACTCAATCTTACACAATATAATAGAAAGGAAAAGTATACAATATAATAAAAAGGAGAAGTATACAAATAGACCACGTACTTTGCTACAATAAAATTACAATCACTCTTGTTCCTCAGATTTTAAATCGGGTGGTTGTAAAAGGGTCATTAACTAGACTAAAAGTTCAAAAAACAAATCTCTTGAACCTCATGACCCATCCCAAGCCATTCAATTTGATATCTAATGGCTACTAATAATTATGACTTCCTTGTAATAAAGATAAATGGTCTCTCAGTCATAATTTCCGGGATAAAAAAAATGTAAAAGATGGAAAAAGAACACTAATGAAAAGAAAGTAAGCATTAACCTAAGGAAAAAAACCGGTTTAGAAGTCAAAGAGAACTTTGAGAGGCAATTATGGGGTAGAAAGCTTCAAAAAGTGTCCTCTTTCAGTTGAGAAATGGATCATAGATGAGTAGTTTTCAAGGAAGGAGAAAAGTGTCCTCTTTCAGTTGAGAAATGGATCATAGATGAGTAGTTTTCAAGGAAGGAGATCACATGGGTTTTCTATTTCTCCCTTTTTCTATTGTCCTTATCATTATTTATTTTTGTTACTTAGAGATACTACTAAAACTTTTAAAAGATTTGAATATTTGACAAAAGGGCAAATATTGTATTATGTGGTACCTTCAAGTTGTTTTCACTCATTTTTTTAAAACTCTAATGTCTATATTTCCACAGAACTGCCATTTGCATTCGGTTTCAATGACAAAGGGTGCTGTAACGGCGCAGAAGAGGGCATCAGAAGATGATAATACGGGCTTCAGCTTTGTGAATTGCGTGGTTAGCGGCATTGGAAAGGCCATATTGGGGAGAGCATGGGGCGCCTTCTCTAGGGTCGTCTACGCAAATACCTATATGTCCGACGCTATACTCCCCTATGGTTGGGATGATTGGGATCATTCCTCTAGGTATAACTACTCTCCCAATATATATATATACGAAAGCTAGCAGACGGAGCAGCCTGAGTCCAACCGTTTATATTCAATTTAGGCCAATCTAATAGATACGACTGCATTTTGTATTTGAATTTTAATTATTTTTCTATAAATTTAAATTATATGAAATTTGGAGCGTCCACTATTCTCATCAATGTGCACCGAATAAAATATTAAAAAAAATCTTTGTAAAATTTAAATTAATTTAAATTTTATGTATATTTTTTTAAATTTTTTATTAAATTCATCTATTTTTTTAAGAATAGACGCTTCAAATTTCAAGTAATTTAGATTTGTAAAAAAACAATTAAAACTTAAATACGAAATGCAATCATGATCATTGGATCGACCCAGATTCAATTTGGGCCATTGACTCTCACTGTTCCATCAACTAGTGGGCTTACGCCAGCCTTTCCCCATATATATATTCTATGGACCATTATGTCATGCTTGTGCGAGAGCATATACTTTTATACTTACTCCCTTTGATAAGAGAAACTTAATAGGAGTACTTTATTTTATGGGAAACTTTGGGATCCAAATCATCATATAAGTATTCATGTAAAGAAAATGGATTTTGTGTTCTTAAATACCTAGGTTTGATGATATTTAATTTGAGGTTGTTATTTTTTTGAGTCAAGGATAAGTTTTTCTTTCTTTCTTTTTTTTAGAATTTCGTTGCTATTTTGATAAGGTTGCATCCTAAAAATGTGGGGTTCTAGACCCTGCTAGGTAAGGTCTTAATCAAGAAATGAATATCTGAAATGCCCTTGTTGGAGCATGGAATCTTTTGACTTTTGTTTCAAAGGGCTACACTTAGTATTGTTGATCCAAGTGGTTAATAATCTCTAATATTGGGGAAATTTTTAATATTGTAAAATTGATCAAATGATCCCAATTATCACAAAAGGGTTTATACGTTAATTTTCATTTCATTCATTAAACTCCTAAAAGATATTACCAAAATACCCAAGTTACCTTTGTTGAGGGTTGGGAACCCCACATTATAATTTGACTCACCTCGACCAAGCAAGAGTTCTCTTATTATTTGGTAGCGGCCCTTTTAGATGGGTCAAATTACTATTATATTCTTGTCTGTCGAGGGTTCCCTATCTTGAATAGGGACAATTATGTTCTTGTCTGTCGAGGGTTCCCTATCTTGAATAGGGACAATCAAGCTGTTTCTAAATATATTTTTGAGGGTACCTAACGGTATAATGTTAATTGGGATGTTTTGGCTATTTATGATATTGTAAAAGATTTCGACCCCTAAGATTATATTTTTTGTTATTATTGTTTCTCCTTGTTATTTGGTTTTCTCCTGGCTCACTAGGTGTTGGCTTGTATGTGTTGTAGCACGGTCTATTATGGTGAATATCAGTGTTACGGGCCTGGATCTAATCTATCTGGAAGGGTTCCATGGTCGTATAATCTCTCAACGGTTGAAGCTGCGCCATTCCTAACTCAAACTATGATCGACGGCCAAGATTGGATCAGGGCCCCTCCAACAAATTTTACTAGGCCCATACAACCTTATGGTCAAATAGAGAAAAAGTCATGTCACGATATTTTTAATTGATTGCCGGTCATTCGTTATTCCCTGTGACAGATTATTGATTATATTTCCTTGAAATTTTTTAAATGCTAATATCATTAAAAAACAAATGGATCTTTTCGTTTGAACTGTAATTTTTTTGGGTTATGTTTTAGGAAATTTGTCGAAATACGTATGAGAGTTTAATTATTTAATATTTTACATATTTACTACTATGTCAATTCATGATCATGTTTTTTTTCAATGGATATTTTGATATTGAATTTAAGAAATAAATAAAAAATTAAATAGCTCATCTCTCATGAGTATTTAGATAAATTTTCCTTGCTTTTTCATTAATTGATATTTGAGTATATATATATATATATATATATATATATCTTTTTTTTTTACATAAAAAAAGTTAACCAAAATACCCTGAGACAATTGATTGACTCTCATGCCAATGAGACGTAAACTCTCAAATGTTCAAGGTTAAAGTTTTAATAATAATAATAATAATAATAATAATGTAAACTCTCAAATGTCAAGCCTTACATTAACCATTGAGTTTCAAAAAAAAAATGCACTTACAAATCTCTAAAGTGCCTTTAGGATTATGATATGCACTCTAAATCACCTCTGATGCAATCTCAACATAAAACAAGGTTTTAAAAACATGATTAGATTTGATGGTTTTCCTAGTTCGAACCGAAACTGGAAGAGGACTTGTCCAAGTTCCCCATGGAATGGGGATTCGAGTATTTCTCCTTAAAATTGAATCTCAAGTATTTATGTCTTAGGAAAAATAATTTAGGGTCTATTTTATAGAATTATCATATTATGATATTTCAAGATACTATAGAATGTAATGTAATCTTAATTATAGAAGTTTGTGAACCACATTCGGTAGGGTCAAATTATTAATAAAAATAAGCAACTTTAAAATTATAGTTATGAATTAAATTTATAATTAAAAATATCATTAATAAATACAAAAAGTTAAATTTAAATTGTAACTACTTTTATCACATAGGGAATACACCAGTCACTAATTTTTTCAATTATCTACCTAATACTTTATGCAAAAGTACTTTCATCGATAAAATATAAAAAATAGCCAAAATTTATTTTTACATGTATACTTTTTTTTTTTTTTTCCAAATTGTTTAATTATACCGAAAAATCAACCCCATAACGGTCCTCATAGAACTATATTGCCTGGAGCTATGGATCTATTACATTCATAGTTTTGTAGGGAACACCAAAAGGCACTAGTTTTTTTTACGTCCATAGCAGCACAGACGACATGATACTTATAATCCATAGTGGTGCGAAAAGCACTACGATTTGTTAGATTAGTATTTTAGTGTAAAAATTGAGCATTTTTGTTATTTTAATTTAATTTTTAATTGTTTTTTATATATTAATAAAAAATAACCAAAATACATTAAATCTAAAAGTGTTTTTACTCAAATTAAAAAATAAACCATATTTAAGTCAAGTGAATATTTCATTTCACAATAGTACTAAAACAATTTTTTTTACTAAAAGAATATTTTAACATTTATCTATATATTCTAGATATATTGAACCACAATTAAACGAAGAACACGTGACATTCATTTGGATGAGATACATAATGATGGAGAGAGATTAGCATAAGTAGCTTATAAAGTTTAGAGTAACATGATGGGGATTTCTTTTTTACTTAGGGTTGATCGATTCTAGAATTACTTTCAGAATGGGTTCTTCCCAAGGTTAACCTCATGGTCCTGAGGTTATGAGGAACATATAGGCTATG